AATCAATCCAGGCAAAATTTCACTGAGAAAAATGTAAGAGAAGACAATAAAAAAAAGAGGGACTAAGGGGGAAAAAAAATCCCAAACCACAGAAGCAGGGAAAAACTCTTTTCAGAGACAAAACCCAAGAGCTCATTTTGAATCAAAGGTCCTTATGCTACAGCTTTATGTGAAAGGTGACTTCAGTGCATCAAAATAAGCCCAAAGTATTTGAAGCCATTTTGACAAGTCCAAGAAACATCAGGGATTTTCAAGTACATCAAGCCAAACCTGGCTCAGATGATGGAAGGCTGCAAACACATTAATTTACCTTGAAACAGATCACAAAAGGTCAAAATAACTGCCAGGTTCAGTTAGTCTTCAAGTTAAGCTCAGGAAAGTGAACCTTGTCATTTCTGTGCAAGAAAAGTAAGAAGATGATGTCCCCTTCCTCACTGAGTTTGTCTGCATTTCAACCTCCTCTATTAAATGCAAATATTCTTACCTGCCAACTCCAAGATGACAGGAAGATTAACTGGGGTGCAAAGGGGAGGGAGATTTGCCATGGGGGGCATCAGGCATTTGTAGCAGTAGGTCACGGTAACAGCTGAGGCACGAGCGCAGTGGTCAGCATCAGGTCTGCTTCAGAACGTCATCTGCTATCTTGTTACCAAGAAAGCAGAGGCAAGCTGTGAAACCCACCTGCCTAGGAAACTGAGGAAGAACATTCCTGGTTTTGGCACCACATCCCATTCCTTTCCTGTACCCACAAATTATGCCAGAGTAATGAGAACACAATAGATCCCAAATCTAAACATGACAGCTACCAGTTTATGATGTACCTGGTATCTTAGGGTTAGAGAGTAGCTCAAGATGAAACTACCACAATGAAGCAACTTCAGGAACACTATACACTGAGCTCAGGAAACTTATTGGAAGTAAATAGTCAGCCACACAGATTCGAATTGCAAAAACCTATATTTTCTGAAAGACAGACAGGTAGCAGAATCAACTTGAGGTTTTGGACACTGGTTCTTAAACAGTATTAAAGGCTTAAAAGACAATGTATTCCAGTTAAATGATTGTGAGAATACATTGGAACAAAATTGTTGTTTTTCAGACCAAAATTTCTTAGGAGCTAATGTTATCACCTGGGTGCATGTAATACTAACAACCACCAACTTTAAAGCAGAAAGTGGGAATTTACTTTAAATTTTTTTTTTATTATATAATGACTGATGACAAACTCAAAATCCCCCATGTTGTATTTATATGCACTTACCTACAAGTAAGTAGGTACTTAGACTTGCAAGTAGGAACACTACTTGGCTACAACCATTTTTCCTTGGCTCCCACAGCTCGTGCGCAACTCCACCACCCATCTTGTGAAGCCACCAGCTAATAACATCCACCAATACCAAATTCTTCTTTTGACAATCTCCCTACAGGCAAGCTCTTTTTACAGTGTTTTCCCTGATTGACTGGTTTTCACTACATTCTTCATATTGCAGCCCCTAGGTAATGAGTTTCTACAGCAAAGTTCTGCTCAAGCCTGGTCAGATCATGCATATCGGCAGCAGTGCAATAACTGAAGCTTTTCTGCTTGCAAATCTGTGGCTCTTGAACCAACTGCTGGTACAGAACACCTGAGATCTCTTGGACCATGCTCGTTATTGAGCACACCAAATCAGGGAACAGCCTCATTACATGGTGTTCAAATAAATGTCTCCATTCACAGAGAAGTTTTCTTTTCAATACTCCCTGAACCTTTGAAAGTGTTTAATGACATAATGCAACAGATACTTTAAAAAGGTGCTGGAATAGCCATGTAGCATGAGCTAAACTAGACCAAGCATTTTGTATAGTGACTCTAGTAGTCAAGTGTTTGTCCATGAAAACTTTATTAAAAGATCAAATGTGCAAATCTATGTAAAATCCATTCAAAGGTGGTTCATTACCACTGATAAGGAAGTTCAAAATTTTCTCTTCTTTGGTCCGTTGCCTATGCTCTGTTTCTTAGGGAACAGAAAGCAGAATTTCCCTTTTGTGGCAAATTCTACAACATCTAAGTATCCTGACAAAAAAAATCCAGCTTTCCAACACGCTTGGAGACACATTGGAAATTCTATCTAAAGTCTTTAACGACTTGTAATTAATCCACTAATTTTCATTGCTCCAAGTAAGCCACAAGTTCAGAACATCTGGCCTTTCTGTAACATCAGAACAGCCGATTTCATGTGCACACACACACAAAAATACCAGACCCAGGTCAGCTGCACTTAACATTCAGAAAGACATATCAGTACTTCCCTTATGACAGGGGTTATGCAACTCGCATTTTGTACATAGGTATCACTCCTAATATAAGTATATCCTAAGAGCACAAGAAAGGATTCTTCCGAAATAGAATGAACATACCCGATCCTCAAAAGCCCTCTCATTATTTCTGGTAAAGGGCATCTATCCATTCAGCAGGATGAACTCTGATCAGTGAAAAAGAGGAAGGAACGGAAAACCTGCACGGCTCACACAATTCGAAGAACTAGAATTAGTTAAACAGCCATTCTTCCTTAAAGGGATTAAGGGGCATTACTCTAGAGAAGCAAGCTCATATCAATTTGAAGAACAATTGCAGGACCACCACAAAGAAGTTTAAAGCTACCTTAGCAGCCTGCAAGAGAAACACCCAAGTAGTCACAGCCTTGGATCTAAAAAAAGTCACCCATCTTATACATGGCAATATCTGAACAGACTGCAGAGACCACATGAGCCTGAATACAAGAAAATTCTGCCCAGCTAAAACCTAGTGGGATCTGAAAGTGCGACTCAGACTTGCTTGATTATGCAGACTATCCTAATCCTTCAGCATATGCCACAAGGAACAAGGTATGTATTTCAGTAGCTCAGGGTTGTCAAAAGAAATGTTCTGAAAACACAATGTGAGTCATCTCATTTCAGAACAGTTTAGGAACGAAAGCAGAAAAATGTTTGGGTGAGACCTAACAGTAATTACGTATTACAGGCTGCTCTACATAGGTACACGTACCATTTTTTTTAATCTGAAAAATTCTCCAGCAGTTATCATGTAAGTGCCAAAAGCTCAAAGCAGTAGATTTATCTGTCTTGTCAGCATCATGCGTAATTCCCAAGGAGGGAGAGTTTTCCAGACTGCTGCAGAAAGGGTTATGACCATTTTCAGGAAGCTTGTCACTTCATGCTTTAGTGTTTGATTCCAGAACAAGGTATTTGTAGCTACATCTATCAGTTACACTTTTACTTATCAAGACAGCTTTACACAGCATTGTAAGAAACATGACTGCATGCACCCACATACGCAGTAAACTATCACCCAGCTACTGCAGTGAACCACCCAAAAGACGACCTTGTTGCAACTTCTTGATGTTACAGGAAGCTTACGCACTCGCACAGGTTACCCAAGCACCGACACTTGCACTGTCGCATTTACACTGGGACTGTATTGAGCCGGCACTGCAGTGACATCCTTAAATGCAGGATACTAATGAACAATGCCATGTACTTCCAAACCAGCAGAAGAGAGGACTTGATGCCATCTTCCCTTTTAAGAAGGAATGCTCTCTACCACCTCAACATAGACAGGAATTCCTAGAAAACTATTTCATATGCCACCTTACATTGGACACTGAAAAGCAAAGACAGCGGCATTTCTATCAACAGAATTGTACATGCTCTGTCTTTCAGTAAACTAGTAAACAGTTACCATTAAGCAAGTTGAAGCCCTTGAGTCTTTTAGTCACCCCTACATTCACTAAGCAGTCCCTCACAACTTGGGATAGGAGAGTTTGTTGAGGCTTGACTTACAGATTATGCTTTACAGTAAAGCAGTGCCACTAACATTTATTAAAAGTTTCAATAAATGTATTTTTTGCCTTGAGTTTATGACCTCTGAAAGACAGAAGCTCTTACAATTATCTGTATTGTACACAAACCATTTTAGGAAAGTCTGAGCAAGACAAGGGAGGGTAACACAGAAGGATAATCTTAAAGGTTTCTTCACCCAACACCATTATGCTCAGAAACCTCTTTACAGCACCCAACTCCCAGTCCTGCTTATCAAAAACTCTACACACAAGGCTCCATTTCTCACTTTATCTCAACATACTCCACATAAACTAATAACTTTGCACAAAATCTGCCTTAATAAAATGGATATAGATTACAAGAGGAATTCTTGTGTGTTACGGTCATACTTTGCTCTGTTTGGAAAATCATTTGTCAGCGTGATACTTGAAGCTTTCTAACTGACCCCATACAAATATCCATTTTATATTTGTCATCGGAATACTGAAGTTGCTCCCTTATTTTTGCATTACAGCTATTTACTACACACTTACTGAAGAAACAATCCCTAATACAGGTTCTTAAATGCATTAACTCATTCCCTATATTCCTATGATGATGCACACTCATCACCCAAGAAGAGCTTACAGCTCTCTAATCTGATCTTTGAGTAGTTCATCCAAACCAAACCAAAAAGAGGGGGGAGAAGAAAGAAGCTACCCACAATAAATTTGTGTACTTGGCAACACAACAAGTACCATAAGGAACGTGCTTGCAACGACTGTGAGTTAGAAAGAAACCACCCTTATGGCTGAAGCCAGACATCTAACTTGCTTCAAGCTGGGGGAATATTCAGATGAAGTAATGGCTACATGGTTTTTGCCTTATTATGACTTTAGACAGCTACTATGGGGATAGGTGGTATTTTGGTCTGACACAGTAAGCTGTTCTTATGGAAGACTAACAGTTTTAGAAGTACTTATTCCAGAATTAAGCCCTAATGCTCTGAGAAGTTAATATGAACACCTGTAAAATTCATCTGCAAGGCCTTTACCACTTATATATGTAACATTTGCACTGTGCACAAGAGCAAACCTTCTGCAAAATTAGAGCTGTATATATTAGCATGTATGAAATTCATGTGCAATTGCATTTATTTATAAGCATGCCTGTAAAGTTTAGGGGAAAAGTTTTCAACTCACTTATTTCACCAGCAACCCGGTCCAGTTTTTCCTTTGACCTACTGATTAGAGCCACCTTCATTCCACGTCTTGCTAACTGCAGCAAAACAGGAGACATAAGAACAGTCATAAATTGCTTCCAAGTTAGTATCCCCATTAAAGAGACTGCATAATTCGTCAAACATCACAATAATATATGACCAGCAAGTCTGAAAAATATTACAATTTTAAATAGACAGATAAAGGGGAAAACCAAGACAAATACTTCCACACTATTTCTTGATTCCCTTCACATCAAATTTATTATCTTTTCAGTCATCCAATACAGGTGTATAGTCACATTTATAAAATAGAAAACCAACAGCAGATATTTTACAGAACTTTTACAACACCTCTGCAAGTCAGAGTGAAGTTTAACATGCCAAGTTAAGATATCCATGGTCACTTGAACACCTGTGTTGCAAAATTACTGCAGCACTCAATAATTCCCTCCTTTAATTAGGGTCCATTCTTACTTTGTACTAATCATAGGTATAAAGGTTAATTTACTCATGCTCTTTTAGGGAAGACACCTGTGTAACTTAAGCTGTGGCCAGAGCACATACCCTGGTCATGAAATCAGACCCATTGCCACAAGTTTGAAATATGTCCTAACAACTCAATTTAAAAATATCTGCAGAAAGGCAGCTACATATGTGAATTACTCTGCAATGAAAACAAACAATGTTTGTGACTACTATAAGTCTCTATTCCAGTGAAAAGTAAAAACAATATATCCACAGTTCATAGTGACGCTGCCTTTCAGACACTTAACACCTACATATAAAAAAACCAGGTAGGTTCTCAATGCTCCAATAAAACTCCTTCACTGCCTTAGGAAGCATTTGAGGATAGGTCTTAAAGGAAATCTAAGAAAACCAACCAAACAAAACCAGAAAACAACCAAAACAAAAAACTATAACACCAGAGCATAGTACAGCAATAACCTAAAGTGACTTAAGCTCATCTACCTTTCTAGCAGAAGTACGCAAACCAAGAAAGCTTCTTTCAGAGAGAAGTATGACTAAGTTCGTCAGTGAACTCCATACCTTGCTCCCATGTGTGATCTCTGAGCAGAAGAAATCTCATACTAGACCTCTCAGGAGTGCCGAATGAGGTGTGATGAAACCAAAGACACACGAGGAGCTGCTAACAAACCCCTGCCAAGCCATTCAGGCTTACAGGTAACTTAAGCTTTCTGCTCAAAGCAATGATCTGTCATTAGGAGGACGATTGTCTAAAAGAGATGAACACATCCACCTCCAGATAAGCACCTGGCTCACTGGAATAAGCTTTTTATAAAGCCAACAGTAGGTGCAGAAGGCAGGGGGGAGAAGGGAATAACATAGCATTCTCTCATTCCACAGGATCAAGGCAGTGCAAGCAGACACTTCACCTGAAAGTATCTCAGCCTGTGACACCGACGACAATCTGACAGTAATCTACTCAAGAGTTTGAAATAGCTGTGGTCCCAAGGGGCAAAAAAGCCTCAGATGTTCCTCATGGGTGCACGCTTCAGATTGTCGACACACAGTTTGCTTTCTTTCAGCAGTCATGACCTCTGGGCTCTCAAATTGCCTAAGTAGGTACCAGAGCTTTATGGAAAAATATCCAGCTATACTTGTCCCAAAAGCCAAGGAAGTAAAGCCACGACAATGCACCCAGTTAGTGGAACCTCAGCAAATTTCAAGAACTTCCACCACAAGAGCAAGCTTGAGAGAAACTGCTTCTATGTTCACACTAAAGCGACGCACTCCGAGAAGCACATCTGAAATCTGGAAACGGGAACCCATACGCAAGAGGAGTTCTCAGAGTACAGAGAACATAAAATGTGCAAGGAAAGAGCCACTGGAAAGATGGCTCAGTTTGAATCTGATGCAACCAGAACTGGTTCTGCTGAGCGCTCTGACTTTACTGGTAGAGACTTAGTGAGTTGAAAGGAATCGCATTAGTCCAAAGAGCAATAACGATCCTCTGAGATCCCAGTAATTAATTACATTTTTATATAAGAATCAAGGAAGATCCACTTGCTTTGTGGGTAACCTGCCATTATAACTTGGATCTTCGGCCAATGTCTCAAGGGTCATGAAATGGCTGAGTGAGAAGACCTTAGAACTAACCACAAAAACTCACCCAGAGCAGCAAGCATTGGGAAGATGCTCTTGTAGCCTAAGGACTGATGCAAGCAAGAGTCACCATTCTAACAGAGCTGGTGGATGTAGGTGACTGATCTGCTTGAAAGCCATCTTAGTAACTACCACATTTTCCTCTTCGGCAGCAAATCACAGCTGCTGTTAAAGCCCTTTCTCTCCAGGATGGAAAGGAATGTCACTAATAGCCCACCACAGCAGAACTAAAGGTCTTGTTAGAGTACATATAGCAAGAGGATCTACAAAAAGCAGTACTAAGCAGATGTGCATAGCAGAGTACTGCAGAGTACACAATGGGACCACAACCTCTAGCTTATCACTAGCATACAGATAACTCTAAGATTAAATTTAACAAAAGCAAACAGCAAAAGAGGGGCAACAAATAGTGACTCCCGACCACAGCCTTAAAAAAAAAAGGAAAATAAAAGAAAACAGTGTGCTGCTTTGGAATCAAAGATTGAGTGAGCATTACACAGAGAAGAAAATTTGCATTTACTATGGCACTACCTTTCATGAAGGAGTGGTCTAGTGATGAAGAGGATATCGGTGCTGAGCAAAGAATAAAGATCTTCATACTGCAAGAGTGAGAAGTGTAAGAAACACCTCTTTGCTTGGAAAAGAAGTAATCAAAGCAGCAGTGTATAACCAGAGAATCCACAAACTTGTAACATTCTTCTATCACTTGCTGGTCATCATGTCAAACTCTCAAAGAAGCAATTCTCAACACGCTGTTAACATTTCTCAGACTCCTCCAAGGAGAAGGAAGTAAACTGCATGATTATAATCACAGACATCAGTGCCCAAGCACTGTATGCCAGTTGCATTTATAATAACCTGAAGGGAATTTCTAGTAGAAAGTCAAGCCTCTGCTGGCAGTCTTATGAAGACATTTCTAGAGTTAATTGAAAGATTGAGAAGTATTTTCAGGTATTCCACATTTCACCTTGCACCCACACTTGACTTCATCAAGTATTTTTCACCCACCTAAACTGTCCAAGGGTAGTTTTGTGGTTTATTCTAGATAAATAAATGATTAACAATAATAAATACAAGTCATGAAAAATGGTCTACAGAATAAACCACAAGAATGAATATTTCTACCCTTTGGGGTGCTTTTGGGATGCTCTGTGCCTACAGCAACTACAGCAGAGAAGCTGAAACAGTCTTTGTTTCCCAGCAGTATCTCATACTTGTGATCAGTTTTCCTAACTGGGGTTCGAACACAGGGGTCTGCCAGCAGCACGGATTTGTGTTTGAAGCCAGCAGAATATAAAGGAAGCTGTAGTTTCATTCACCTAATAACCTAACGCATCGATCCTGAAACTAATCTCCCATCATGTTCAGGAGGTGTCTCCCACACAGAGGACTTTGTCCTGACAGTGCTATGCCCTGGGCATAGTGACGTCCTTCCACTTGCTCTAGGCAGTTAAATTTGAAGTATTCTATCATTTGCTTCAGTGCCATGTCACTGGGATATCTGGCACATACGAGCTGTCAGCTCTACGCCAAAATCGGGTGCTGCTGACATGAGGCTTAACTCCTTTTGCACCCAACTCCCCTTTCTTGACCCAGTAGGACAAGGTGCTACTTTCTGCAAAACAGAAAGGAAACTAGGGGCTGGGGGTGCAGGTGGCAAAGCACACAGGGATGAAGTGAAATCTGAAGGACGAAGACTACCCATGAAGAGGAATGCTACTTCCCCTGTGGGCTTTGTAGAACCAAAAAATTCAGGAAAAAGAAAGACTCACAACTGATCTCCTCACACAAAGATGGTGTTTCAGAGAACACAAAAGTGAGTACAGACAGGCTCACTTTGATACCGCCAAAAGTTATTTTTGCTATAAATTGTTGTAGTCAGCACTATTTGTCATGATGTTCTCTGAGCTTATAGGCTAAATTGCCCCATACTAACAGGCACTTTGTCTTAAGCAATACATTCTAGTACCGTATTTGGAGTCCAGATACCCATAAAGAGCCAAAGTACAGTAAAAGAGACAGAGGTAAAACCCAGCTTCAGAGACTTCATGAACCACAGGGAATAATTGGAACATACTGCAGGCAACTAGAAATGCCCTTTAGTCAGTGTCTGGAAATACCAAAAGGAAATGACAAGGATTGAGAAAGTTAAAGTAATTGTGACAGATAAAAACAAAAGTTAAAAATAAAAACTGAAGGACAAGGTAAACGCTGAAAATAGAATTCACAAATAAAAGAAACTAACAAAAAGGGACACAACTTTTGGCTGGTCACCAGAGGGAGGCAAAGCAGGAAACCTCTTTCTCCACAGGTATCTATGTTAAGGTGAGGAGATATGACCTGTTGCTTGACAGAGTTGAGACAGCATGACATTTTGCCAAGGATTGAGATATACTTCCAAGCGATAAGAATTCTTACCTCTTCTGTATAGGCTTTTCCAATCCCATCAGTAGATCCTGTGACCACTGGGAAAAAAAAAAAAACAAAACACACCCAGATATACATTAGCTGCTTCACAGAAATAACTGCAACGGGTACTCATTAGTAGGCTATTAAAGTACTCTTTCCAGCCAAGAGATACAGCAAAGTCTCTGGAACAGGTGCACAACTTTTATTAAATCTCTTTGAGAACTCACACTAAAACCTTTCCC